TTGCTACTTCCATGACAGACGTGAGATCAGTATTTCCACTGCTACTGCTGCAGCTGCCATCAGTTGTCGAGGCATCAGCAGTAGGTTGACCATTCACTGGCTTCGACGAGTTCTCCATCGCAGACTCCGCACTGGAGACCGATTTCGGATGAGAGTGATGATGGCCTGACGCATTGAGAGTTTCTAGACTGAATTATTCGCCCGTCAGATTGCCCATATTTCTCCAAGAGAACTACCCCGTGAAATGGTCACCTGATGAAGGCTTATAATCGATCTTCTTCTTCCAAGCCCCCATGAGGTTCTTAGCGGCCTTCTTGGCCCGTGGTGTTGTCTCATCAGCATTGGCCGCTTTGTTCAAGGCTTTACCTGATACCACAATCATCCCAGGCTGATCATCAAAATACACTTCTCCCGATTCTAATTCGCTCTAAAACGAGCCGATAAGGCAGATTGCCATATAAGACACATGACGGCATTACGAAGAGACTATCGTTTCTTGATAATACTGTCGAATTACTAGAGTCAACGTAGAGTGTAATACACAGAAACAACCTCCCTCGATTGAACCGCCATATAATGGTAAAGGCTTAATACTACCAATCATTGTCTCTTTCAAGAGCTGCTTGTCCATGTTGATGGAGCTGAGCGAATCAATGATAGCCATAAGGTCTCTATCAGGCTCAGAAAGACGTTTCTTGAGCGTCAATACTGTGGCCTTGTCATTCGTAGATACTGCCGACATGAGGAGGGAAAAGCAACCAAGGAGCACCCAAGACTGATCTCACTAGAAAGGCAACAACTGCTAGCTGATAACGCAACAGAGATTAACTTCGTTGTTGATTCGGCCTCCATCAGGAGAAACGGTTAGAGAGCCCCACCCAAATTGGTGACACAGGGCGCACATCGACGACACTGTTATGACGACCCCTGATTGTGATCAATTGAGGTGGTGACACTAGGCCGAAACTGCGGGTAGTAGCTCTTCGTCAACTCTAACGTGTTTCAACCTTCCTCGTTAACACAAGTAGTGTGGATTATCCTTGTTACACTCAGTGAATGATTACGACAACGAACACTATCAAGATTATCATGGACAGTGTGGTTGAATATGCACATTGTCAACTACATATGTTGGTATCAAAATAGAAATTCTGAAGAAATTTTGGGAAATACTCAACTACATTTCAAATTTCTACTCGGATTCGTATATTAACTTCTATAATTAGTGAGGAAACTTCTAAGCTCAGTTGAGGAAAGCAAACATATATATTCCCA